AAAAACGGAGGTCCATATATTTTAACACCCCCAAAAAGTTACTCTTGTAATCAACACTCCGAGCTTTTTAATATATACCATCTTCGAGGCAGTCCGACCTCGTAATACATAAGCATTTTTCCTGCTTTATTCACACCATGGCATCCTCATTTCAAACAATAGTTTCTTGTTAAACTCTGCTTAATCATAGGGGATTTCTCAAAATCGTTGTTGCATAATTTGCACAAAAACAATAGCTATAATAATAGAATGAAATGTGAAGGCATGTATATACACGCTCTTCATAAAATGAAATAACCTCGTAAATTATAACATGTTATGGCTAATGCCTAAAAAACACTACGACTTTTAAATTGTGTATAGCCATAATACAAGTACAGGAGCCTTCGTCGACCACTGTTTTTATTTTGGTACTCTCAAGAATGAAGAAATACGGAAACACAATATGAGTATGGACTTTTATGTAAAAGATTTCTTAATTTTCATGTTGTCAATAATAAGAAATTCATGGAGTATTTATAAACTAGTACAATGCCCGTATACTACACGAGTACTTAAATATATTAATATTTGAACAATAAAAAATAAAATAATTTATATTTTTATTGTGAAATTATTTAAATGAATATACCACAATAATAAATAACCAACAAAGTGATAATTAATTCAAAATGACGCCTATAAATATGTCAAAAACGATATTTTTTATTTTTTAAATAAATATGTCTAAAACAGATATTATTTCTAACTTCATATATTTGATTCACATTTTTTTTAAAAAAATAAATTTTATGTATTGCGATTATTTTTATATTTATACAGTCGATGTATCTCATTTATTAATTTGTTAGGTGGTAACGCAAAACACTCCGACCGGCTTGAAATTGGTCCGCCTTCCTCTTTCTTGCCGGTAGAACGCCGCGCACCTACACAGAACTCTCACACCGGAGGGGTTTTCCAGTGAAGAGCCTCCGATGCTTAAGTCAGTATGTGTTTGTTCAATTTTCCAAAAGTAAAGAATGGATAAATCGTAAGTCCCAAGAAAAGACCCACTCCTATATATATATAGGAATGAGATACCTGCCCTAGGAGCTGCCCGGATTTTGGTGAGCTGTCCTACCCGCGCTGCCCGTCCGTACACACACAGTGTGCGTATGTCAGAGCTGTCAGAGGTGGTTATCGCCACTATTGCTCTGCACCAATGTATTCTCGCCATGTGCCCCTCTGAGTGGAGGGAGATTATTCCTGCCGTTAGGATCTTCTAACGCCGCTCACGCGCTTTCTCGCGTTCAAGCCACGCTCTAGACTGCTCTTCACCTATTGGGTGCTCGATCTGATCGAACCCCCCATCGTTAGGTCAATCCTCGACCAGTTCTGCTATTCTGCTCGATCTCCTCCCCTTTTGGTCGATCATCCTTCGACCAATCCGGTTTTCTCCACTTCGAGCTTGCTCGACCGATGATGCAAACCGGTCTATTCCTCAGCTATATAATATCCCATATCAGTTACGTATTTTAATTTCATATAATTTAATAATTTAAAATATTAATTTATGCGGAAATGTATTATTTATAAATTTATGAAACTTAAAATTATTTTTTTATATTTAATTATGAAATTTCTTAATATTTATTGTTTTAAAAAACGTAATAAGATTCACTTCCTTTATATTTATTATTTTAAACAATATAATAACATTCAATTCCTTATATAATTTAATTAAACTAAAAAATAAAACTTTAATAATATTTTTTATGATTTATTTTATATAATACTTAATTTTCATATTTTATTCAAAATCTATGGAAAAACACATTAAATTGTTTATTATATGGTATATTGATGAATTAGATTTTTGATATTTACTAAATAGATTTAATAACAAAACTAGTATTATTTATAATGATAGATGATACTATTTTTTATTTTATATTTACAATATGAATGTCAAATCGAAGATGGTTAAAATATGATTATTTTGATATATCATATATAAAAAATAAACTAAAAATAAAAAGGTTATAAAGTTTTGAACATAAAAAAAAAAAAAAAAAAACTAAATTAGTTTATGATAATTTTCAAGCCTAATAGTTAAAACCAAACATGTACATTTGTCAAGACGGAGCACGAATTTATGCTAAATAAGCTTGCAAAGTATACGAGTCTTCAACTAATTAGGCTCAACGCATTCGAGAAATTATATATAAGAGCGATGTGTAGGAACATCACAAGGGGTCTTATACATCTAAAACCACATACATGCCAAACAAAAAAAAAATGCGACCACAATTGAGCAAGCAAACTCTCGATCTCGACTGATACTTTCAGGTTGGGGGCTTGGTGCGAAAAGCAACCCTATTGAGTTTTTGAGCTATCTAATCTCATTTTTTGCTATAATTGTTTTATTAATTTGATATGATTTTTACATGTTTATAACTCTTTTATTTTAAAAATGAGGCCGTATTATATAAAACCATTTTTTGTTACAAATTTATTTAAGAAGACTTTCGGCTTCCAGGTCGTAGTTTGGATGTTCTAAACTGGCCCGACCATATATACAGGTCGGTTCAGTAAACCGGCAGTTCATGGACCGCTAGTTCTGGATCGACTTGATTTATTAAAAATATAATAATAATAATAAAAGATGAACCATCAATTCCGATTTCAATTTGGAATGGGACCCGATTCAAAATTTGTATGATTGAATCGGGACCGGCCCCG